TGGAATACCCTCATTTTTTATTGAATTCCTAAAAAACAATATTTATAATGAATTTTAATAATTTTTTTTAATTTTTTTTAAGCTTTATTCTGACCGATTCACCCGATTCCCGATTCGGATCGCCGATTCGCCGATCCAAATCGATTTTTTGGAAGCCCTATCCGAATCACCGATCCGTTTTTTAAACCATTGCTCTAAAACACATTCTCTCAGCAAAAGCAACTAATCCTCTTCCGTACGTAAACAAACGCTCGTAACCAACCATGAACGCTGATGCACACACACACCGTACCATGCCTTTTTGACAAGTGTCGCTCCCTTACTGCATCAGCCCGAATATCGTTGGAGATACCACGTGCGCCTGAAAGCGAAACGCATGTGAAAGTAGTTCAATTTGTCAAATGTTATCCATTGGAGTGGGCCACTAGTGTTTTAAACTTCGGATAAGGGCATGGATCCGGGCGGGATAATATACATTCTCGGCTGCCAAAATCAGTTCAAAAAAATATAAATCGCGGTAACTTTTATCCCAATTATTTGGGTTGAATATTGTTATGTTATTCTACTCTATCAAGAACCTCACTCTCAATCACACCGTAATGTTCTCAAAGTCGGTTAGTTCAACTTGAAATCGGGCAATCAAAGAACCTCACTCTCAATCATACCACAATGTTCGCAAAGTCGGCCAATTCAACTCAAAATCGGGCAATCAAACCGGAATTGATCACTGGCCGATTTAGTTTTGGGTGGCTTAGGTGGTCTGGCCAGTATCTTTAAAAAAAAAAAAATCAACAAAAATCTACAAAATCCCAAAAAATAAGGGTACTTATTTATACATTTTTATTCTTTTTTGGATTATTTTTAAAATAGCCCGGGCCAGAACTCGATTATTTAAAACCCATTTTTTTTCACTACATTTCAACTTCATTTGGATTTGCTTTGCTTTGCTTAACTATGCTTTAAATATATTTTTTGTATTTTTTTAATACTTTTTGGACCGGTCGGGACATGCTCGATTAAGCGGGTGAACCGACCGATTTAAAAATTACTCGTTCCTGCCCTTGGCCAGTTTTTTAGTCCGATTCGATTTGTTGAACACTATGTGAACGTAGGTCACCATATGAGCATGTAATGTAGGATCATGATTAAGAAAGTAGATGTTACAAAAGTTTTATGCTGGTTGCCGACTTAATACAACCCTCGTAGTTTCTCTGTAGATTGACTATGAATAAGTTAGTCCAAAAAAAATAAATACTAATATTTAATTTTCACTCAATTAACAAAATTTTATTAAAATGTTGGTATATTCAAGAATTAAAATAATTAAAAAGGAAAGAAGTAGCTAAATGCAGCTGATCCGGATTGCCGATTAACTAAATGAGTTTATTCAAATCAGATGGTTTATCGATTCCGACTAGAAACCTGGTTAATCCCTTGCCAATTCCTAATCTAGATCGACATTTTCTTAATCATTCAACTTGGTATTACACGCAAAACCATTGATTGTTAAAAGGGGCACGTTTAAAATGGCTCATGTACTCTGGAGATCTGGAGGCAAAGAGCTGGAATTGTCTGATAATTTGCCCTAAAAAAGTGGGTATTTGTCTGGTTTTTGTTTAAAAATAAGGAACTGAAGAAAGGGGAAAAAACACAAAAATTTAATTAGAAAACCCTTGTCAAAACAGCAGCTGTTTATGTGTATTTTTTAAGTATATATAAAAATAAAGAGTTGTTGATTATGTGATGGAATTCATCTTGGCAATTCAAATAATCAAATAATATTCAAGTATTAAAAACATTTCAAATTCAAAACAACGTCCAACAACTCGACTTTTTAGTAAAAACACAACATTGCCTTATTATATCAGTAAAAAGGGCTTTAATAGAAACACAATAAAACTACCTTAAGTTATTATTCTTTGCTTTTGCTTCTACAGTTGGTAGTGACTAATTGAGGTATAACTCTAATATGTTCGAAAAAACCCCTATTTTAAATAGAATTTTGCTAACTATAGTGTTACAAGAGACACTATAGAATTTTGCTAACTATAGTTAGCCAAGGTCCAGGCCCAGCCCATTGCCACCCTTATTTTTATTAGGGGCCATGCCAACATGACCTGAGGGCCATCTCTGACTTGGGCTAGGGCCGAGATGTTTCTTTCCCTTCCTTTTTTATCTTTTATTTTTTAAAATAGTACCTGGTACAAATAAGGCTAGGGACTTTTTGGCCCGGGCCAGCCCTATGGGAACAAGGGCTGGCGAAGGTCAGGGCCCGGCCCACTGCCAACCTAGTCCGGAGAGATGAAGAAGGGGCAGGTGTACAAAGAATGGAGAGAGAGAGAGAGAGAGAGAGAGGCTAGACGTAGTATGTAGGATAATAAAATTTGGGGGAGCCTATATGATTTTTGGATATTATTTGGAATAAAATATGTGGTTTGTGAATTGTCCTAAATAAACATCCCTCTCTCTTCTCTTCTTTCATGCGTCTCTCCCTCCCTCTCTCACAATGAGTTATCCGATTTATGGTCATTGCAAAACTCCTTTTTTATACCTACTTCTGTTTTGGGCCTTTTTACTTAGGACGCGGTTAGCATGTGGCCAAGCTTCCACATATACAAATGGAGGCTCGGTAATAAATATATTTTTAAAATATAATTTGGTCGTAATTTTTAGAAAATATATAATCTTTAATATGGAGATCATGAATATGAATATGAATAAATAAATAAATAAATAAATTTTGAAAACTATAAATAATAATTGTATTAAGAAGACATTTGGATTGTTAGTTACAACTGTTTTTAGATGGACCACCTATTTGCATCCATCTTTGAGATGAATGCTTTATACCTTTGGACCGCATATTGTACAATGCGGTCCAGCCCGCATGAAACAATTTTTCTTTTACTTATCAAACTATATTTGGACCTTTTTATTTATTTTCACATTTTGTCGATAGAATTTAGAACATTAAAAGTAGTGCTAGTTTAGAGTGCTCCAAACCTTTCTTTTTTATGTTAAAGTGGGGCCGGTGGAAATGGAACTCTTGATGTTGCATTGCAGATCCACTTACTATGACGGCTATGTCAAGTATTTTAAAACTCCATGATTCCTGATCTGGATCATCGATTTGCATGGGAATCAGTTGAGATCGAAACGATTCTGGGATGGTATGGATCCTCGCCAGGTTTCCCCCTAAATCCACCTTCTAATATATATATACATATAGAGAGAGAGAAAGAAAAAATATCCCCTTATCCCCTATTATCTCATGATACTCAATAATTGAAAATATTACTTGTAAGCAAAATGAGTCAATCTTTTTTATCTTACAACCTCTTGGATCCCATTGACCACAAATCTTTGACCCAACGAATTGAAAAAATGATATCCTATCATTCTTCTCCCTTAATGTGAGTATTTCGAACCACCCTCTCTCTCTCATCACCATCTCTCTCTCTCTCTCAAAATTCCATTTCTTTTTTTACTAAACAGAGTTGTAAAAGCTCTCTCTCTAGATCATTTCTCTCTCCTCTCTCTTTCTAAAAAACCTACAGATATGAAGCCCCTACTGTCCTATTCTATCTCTAACCTACCGATCTAAAAACCCCACAGAGCTCTATATCTTTCTCTACCTCTTCTCTCTCTCTTCCCTCTTCCTTCCTGCAACTAAAAACCCCACAGAGTCCATGGCCATTGTGGATGCAACTTGCCAACAGAAATAAGTCTTTTCACCCATGAACTCATTTGTTCAAGAAACTTATCTTTTACCCAACAAGTTATAAAACCTTAACATACATAAAGCTCTTCAACTCCCTATTTACAGTTTTCAGAAAAGAAAACGAAAATTTACAGGTTTTAAGATCGCTAGATTCATTGCTAAAAAAAACCTATTTATTTGATTTTGCAACTTCAGTTTCTGGTAATCCATCTCACTTGTCAGATTAATCAATTAGTGAATGGAAATAAAGTCTTGAGCCAATTGAAAAGAAAACCCAAACATTGGGTATCAGAGAGAGAGAGAGATGATGTAGATAGGGTATCAAGGCAAACTGAGAGAGAGATAATGTAGAGAGGGTATTACGGCAAAAACGTATGCAAAGAAAGTCGCCACATTGAAGTTCATTCTTAGCTTTGAGAATTTGAGGGAAATCAGCACGCACAAGCATTGCTTGTTGAGTCCCAAT